TGACAGTACGGGCCTACTCCAACTTCCGAAATTGAAATCCGACCTCGATATCAAAAAGTCCACTCTCGGTCAAACTTTTCAAAAAAATCCAACTTTCGCTATTTCGAGCCAAATTCAACTACGGACCTCCAAATCACAATCCGGACGTGCTCCTGAGTTCAAAATCACCCATCGGAGCTAACGAAACCATCAAAATTCCAATACGAGGTCAAATACTAAAAAGTCAAACTCGGTCAACTCTTTCAAATTTAAAGCTCCCTAGTTGAGAATCATTCTTCTAAATCAGTCCCGAATAACCTGAAAACCAAAACAGACGATTCACATAAGTCAAAATGCATTAGACGGAGCTACTCATATCCGTAAACTATCGAGCGAAGTGCAGATACTCAAAACGACCAGTCAGGTCGTTACACTTTTCTTATAATTGATGTTATTATTACATACCAAAATGCATACATGTTAGGCATACAAAGGTGCAACAATATAATATATACGCATGTTTTTATATATATGAAGTATGTGCCTAAGTATTGATAAGTAGAATTATTCGGTATTTGACTAGTGGAAGGTGGTAGCAAATACTATATGGAATAGATGAAACACGCGCAAATTGATCAAGACACTATTATTATTAAAAAAAGTATTATGAAACTCGTTATGCGCAAGTTGACCAAGACACTATCGTTATTTTAAGAAAAAGTAATGTGAAACGCGTTATGTGATGTATTGTGATATACACACATTCAGAAAGGAACAGTGGCCGTCTATTTGACATTGATGAAATTAACTCTAATTAGAGTGAGCAGGGGCAACAAAATAGTCTTTTTGTTTATCTTGTGGGTTCAGAGAAGTGGGGGTTTCAACTGAGATAACAATATCATTCAACATAAAAAAAAAATAGTTACTAATTAGACTATTATATAAGCTAAAATCTGGAATTAGTTTATCATATCAATCAATTTGTCTGGGTGGTGTAGTTGGTTATCACGCTAGTCTCACACACTAGAGGTCCCCGGTTCGAACCCGGGCTCAGACATTACTCTTTTCTTTACCTCTTTTTTACTCTTTTTTTACTCTTTTTTTTAGGCATTTAAAGCATCCCTTCTTCTTTTGAACAGAAAAAAGAGACATTTCTTGGTAGATATGAGATTTTCTTCTTCTCTTTTTATATCAAGATTATCTCTAGATTGAATGGTATCAAATTTTGCAGGTCACGTGTGGAAACTTATGTGCGCCTCAACTAAAACATCAAACATCTATTACCTTTCACTAGCGTAATTACCGAATAAATCTATCCGTCAAAGCTAAGAAAGACGGAACCTGGGATAGAAATCACCTAACACTTATCTTTATTGCATTTTGGACCATGACCTTTCACTCAACTTTATTGACCTCTAGGCCATATCCTTGGATGCAAAAGGTCTGGTTCTCGGTCGTTTTGTGGACTTAATTGGTCGAAAAAACTGCTATTAATCTTACTTGTTTGATAATGTGTATAGCTTCAGCCTTCAATGTGTTCTCTAACTGCATTAGGATTTGCTTCACAGAAATGAGGACATAATGGTAAGAGCACGAAGAGATATGTATGCAGCAGTTGTTTCAAATACTTCAGTACCTAGGCAATATACTCAATTGTATATGTTATACACTTCCTATATACAAATATTACTGGAGATCTATAAAAAATAATACTACTACATAAGATCTGTAAATAAATTAAAATTTAGACGATTTTTATAGATTTATTTTTTTTATTCAAATTATATTAGGTGATCTGTAAATATTGCTGTTACTTTGTTTTTTATGGTATTTATGTTATGTTATGAATTTTATGGTACTTTATGTTGTTTTATTATGAGTCTATTGATAGTACTAATATAGTGTCTCTTGTTGCCTCTTTGAGCCGAGGGTCTCCTGGAAACAACCTCTCTGCCCCTCGGGGTAGAGGTAAGGTCTGCGTACATATTACCCTCCCCAGACCCCACTTGTGGGATTACACTGGGTTGTTGTTGTTGTTGTATATGGGCCATAAGAGATCATGTACTCCATATCAATATGTTATTTGCTTTTATCTTGATGTTCTTCCTTTTGGTTTTGAAACAAAGATCTTCAACTCCATCTTTACCTTAGCTTCAAACTCACAATTTTTCAATTTTGGCAAATTAATATAGCTTGTGTGATTATTTTTCAACTACTTTGTAGCATTTTTATGTCTAAAAATCAAGGTGGATGGACAATTTTAACAGGGTGGCCCAAGGGTCAAGCCACTAAAGCAAAAAGCTTTAGGCCCTCAATTTTTGGGTAAAAATAGCACGGTATAGCCAATTTTTGGACTGGTTATTTAAAAACAGCCAACGTTTACGAAGTCAATGAAAAATTGTTACTATTTTGCTGTAACTGAGACCGGTCCAGCATAATATACTAGATTTCGATGCATCTGTGTATGAACTCTAGCATATTATGCTGGATCGATATACTTTGCTGACTCCAGTATAATATACTGGAGACTGGAGCACCGATGCTCCAAACTCCAGTATATTATACTGGAAAATTATACTTGCTGGAACTCCATTATATTATGCTGGAGTTCTAGTGTACTTATGCTGGAACTCCAATATAATATACTGGCGTATTTTTCGGGTTTTGAATAGTATTTTCGCTCATATTTATCTTTACATAAAAAGTGGTTAAATTTCGATTACTTTTGAAACTGGCTATTTTTGAATGACCAGTTGTAAATCTAGCTATTTTTTAATTTCTCCCAATTTTTGGGCCCCCCAAATTTTTCATTTTGTTTCCTACTTGTATTTGTATTGAGACCCCGACTAATTGAGATTCGTACTGCGTAAAGCCTAGTAGAAAAGAGAACACATTTTAACAGGGCTCAAACTCAATATATCTAATTAAGGTAAATTGGATCATATACATCTCACAACAATCTTTAGAGATAGGGTCTAAATATATTAGGTATTTTAAAATAAAAAAGTAAAATATTTTTAAAAAGGTAAAGATAACTTTTAGTTTAGTAGTGGTGTAAAACTTTGAGCAAAAATTAGAGAAAGAGAATCACTCTCCCTAAACCGTTGTCGCGAATATAAAACTTTTTATTATTTGAATTTTAGGATTGATATCATTAGTGAGGTGCCGATATTATTATTCTCCTTTTATATTTCTCACTAAAAACGTGTAATAAATTTTTAGAATCTGTTTTTTGGTATCTTCAATATTTCAAGTCTTATTTTTTATCTTTCTCATCAATTGATTTCTAAAAAAAAACTTAAGTTTTCGATAGTTATATTGTTCTATGTAGAAAGAAAAAATTTATTTTTTCTATAAAAAACAAGAGTTAAGAGGACTGTTTAATAAAACTATATTGCCATTCTTTCTTTCCTTCTTTCTTCTCAGGTTTCAAGCATTTCAACAAGTATATTAGAACATCAAAAATTATTTCGATATTAAGTTATCAACTTCTTGAATCTGGTTCTATTATCTACGATCAATAATATCTTAGGAGAGATTAAATTATTTATAAAAGAAATTATTAACAACTTTTGAATTGATTTTTGCTGAAAGACCCCACATTAAAAATTGGCTTTCGGCCACCAATCTTCTCGAGCCGCCCCTGAATTTTAAACCAATTTTCATATTTTGACCCCATTAAGAAAAAATTTGGGAAAATAGCCCCACATAAGAATTTTAAAACACGCTCGCTAGAATTTTAAAGCACCTGCTAGAATTTAAAGCACCAGAAATTTGACGATCACCAAAATTTTTAGCGTCAAAATTTTGAAGCTCCAAAAATTATGCCGATCTCCAAATTTTCCAGCTACAATATTGAAAATTTCCTAGCAAAATCCTGATGATCATCATAACTGATACGTGCTTTAAAATTTGGGTGAAATTCAAAAATAGCCAGATTTACAAGTGGTCATTCAAAAATAACCACAGTTTCAAACTTTTTGCGTGTTGGAGTTCCAGCATAATATGCTGGAAGTTCATACACAGGTGCACCGATCTCCAATATATTATGTTGGAGCTTTTCGTGTTGCAGCAAAATAATGACCATTTTTCAATGACTTTGCAAACACTGACTATTTTAGAATGACCAATCCAAAAACTGGCTAGCCCGTGCTATTTTTACTTAAAATTTTGGCAATCCGTGAAAAATTCTTACGAGCGAATTTTAAAATTGTGGCTTGGGGCTTTCCTCCTAAACTTCTGTTACTTGGGTCGAAATATCAATTGGCGATACAGAAACGTCTTATTTCTATCCTTCTCAGCTTCTCCCTTTTTAAGTTGGGGCTATTTTTTAAATTATAAACACTGGCTATATTTCTATTAGCAGCCCTAAAAGTGTAAAAATAGCATGGTACAACAAGTTTTCAGATTGGTTATTCAAAAATAGCCAGCGTTTAAGAAGTCAATGAAAAATAGCCACTATTTTACTGCAACAGAGATCGGTCCAGCATAATATACTGGAGTTCGGTGCACCTGTGTATGAACTCCAGCATATTATGCTGGACTGATATACTTTGCTGACACCAGTATAATATATTGGAGACTCGAGCACCGGTGCTCCAAACTCCAGTATATTATACTAGATAATTATACTTGCTGGAACTCCAGTATATTATGCTGTAGTTCTAGTATACTTATGCTGCAATTCCATCATATTACGCTGGAGTTCCAGCATACTTATCCTGGAACTCTAGTATAATATGCCGGAGTTCAAGCATACTTATGCTGGAACTCTAGTATAATATACTGGCGTATTTTTCGGGTTCTGAACAGTATTTTCGCTCAGATTTATCTTTACCTGAAAAGTAGCTAAATTTCGATTACTTTTGAAACTGGGCTATTTTTGAACGACCAGTTGTAAATCTGGCTATTTATGAATTTCTCCCCCTAAAAGTGGCTACCTTCTGTAAATCTTACTACAATTACATAAGCAGCCCAATGTACAAAGTAATTCTTTGTTTTTTCTTCTGGAAAATAAACTTTTAAAAATTTCACAAGGAAAAAAATTCAGTCCGAACACTAAGGTTTCTTTCAAATCGCCGCCGCCGCCGCCAACTTCCGACGAGTTGCGCTGCTTCATAGTTGCTTCACTAGCTTCGGCGGCGGTTATCGTCGGTCTAAGATTCTCCAGTCCAGGTAAACCTACCTCTTTTGCTGCATCATATTTTCTCCTCCTCTTTGAATTTTATACGAAGTTACTTGCTCAAATTGCGTTGCAGCTCTGTTACATTCATGTAGAAAATTTTGTATTTTTGGTTTAGATACTGCTCCTTGAGCTTAAGGCCTTTATTTGTTTTAACCTTTTGGTGAATCCTATTACTTGTGTAAACTTCAGTACTAATGAATATAGACGAGTTTAAGTTGTGTGCATTGACGGTGTAAAAAAATATTTACACAATCATGTCACTTATTAGGTAAATTTCTGGTCAATTTCTTGATAAGCATTATTGGTAATTCGGTATAAGTGGTAACTAACTTGCTATTACAAGTTAAAATTCACCGATATTGTAAAAAAATCAATTATTTATATATATAGGTATACAATATATATATATTTTCTATGATGGTGGTTTTGGTCTCAACTTGCACATACGCGACTATTACGCTCTGGTACCTGCAACCTCCAATCAGCACAAGTACCAGGTAACTGCCGTCCCACCAGCACAAGTATTGGGTAACAGTGCCACCAAGGCTTAGGCAGATGGAAAGAGAAGAACTAAGTTTGTTTTCTTGCCTCTGGTGGGATTTGAATGTGAGACCTCAAGGTTTTTCTCTCACTTCATAGACCACTAGGCTTTGGGTGCTATGACTTGTTGATGTATTGCAAGTAATGAATTTAAAGTTTGAGCCTTGAGATTAAGTCCTTTGTGTGTCCATGAACTATTGGGTCATTTCCTTCTGTCTGTCCATTTTTATCTTACTTATTTTTTCTTTTCCAGTGTGAAAAAAGTTTAGAATTATTTGGTATTTTATTACTAGGATTGTAGTTGGTTCTTCCAATTGAAAATTCTTAGCATTCTTTGTGTTTCCTAGTTGCATCTTAGAAGTTACCGTCTGTATGTTGTGCCGATTTATGGATGCATTTACGTGATTTATTATAAGTATATGTCAAAAAGACATCAATCTTATGCCCCGAGGCTTTGATCTAGTGATTAGAGTGCAACTTGTGATGTGTTGGTTAGGCGCACGTCATAGGTTCGAACCTTGACGCAGACAAAAACCTGGTATTTAAGCGGAGAATGATAGAGGAATCGGTGCATTATCCACCAAATTTTGAACCGTGCGGCGTGTGCCACTGGCCTTCGGGATTTCTCAGCTATCAAAAGAGAAATAACATGATATAAGAAAGAAAAAACATCCTGTTGTTTATATTAATAATTTTTTTTATTCTAACAAATAAAATTTGCAATTCAGTTCATCCGTCGTACTCATCTTTTGCTGTTGAAGTTTAACTCTTTTTTCCTCTTTTCCCCCCAAATTAATGAATGCTGACAGATGAGAGTGAAAAAGCAGAAGCGGCATAGGAGAGCTGTGAGGTTTTACACAGCTTGTTTTGGGTTTAGAGAGCCATTTAAAGTCCTTTGTGATGGAACATTTGTGCATCATCTTGTTGCGAATCGAATAACACCTGCTGATACTGCATTGGCCAATATTCTAGGCGCCTCAGTTAAACTTTTTACTACCAGGTTTATTTTCACCAGCTCCATTTGTCTCTTCTCCACTTGATCTTCACATGACTTAGCTTTCTTTGCATTAATTCGGAGCACTAGCTAAATATGTTTTGCTTTAAAACCGTTTGGTCTATTGGTCAATTCATAGTTCATATTGCCTTTGCTTGCAGATGTGTTCTTGCTGAGATGAAGAGCCTTGGTAGTTCCTATCGTGAATCACTGAATGCAGCTAATAATCTTATTATGGCGCGGTTAGCCATTTCTTCTCTTCTTCTTGCTTGCTCCGCTCAAAAGCAGGATATGTTGCTTCAGTTCTCAGGACATTCGTTTGAGTTATGCCACTTAGTCTGAATCTGACTGTATTGCAGATGTGACCATGAGAAGCGGCAAAGTGCTGTAGCTTGCATAACTGAAGTTATTGGGGAGAACAATTCTGAACACTTTTTTGTTGCTACTCAAGATGCTGAATTACGGAGAAGTCTTCAAAAGGTATTTGAACTTAATTATTCGTCGGAGATGGTATTGATGATGTCCTATATTGTGATACAGACATTTCATGTTATTACAAAATGTGAACTGAAAAATCCCATAAGATCCTAGGAGAACATTTTATTATGTATATACCAACTGGCTTTTCTCCTGTTTTTTCTGACCTTTGTTTCCCCTTTTCCTGACCCGGGGTAGATACCTGGTGTGCCTGTAATTTATGCTCTTAGGAATGCATTATTTCTCGAACAACCATCGTCATATCAACGTCAGTTTGCCAAATCTGCTGAAGAAGAACGTCTTCATATGACTGACATGGAGTACAATATGCTTAGACTTGGGAAAAAGAGGAGATTGTCTGGCGACGAACAAGGGGATTCTTCCGATGCACCAGAGGAAGAGGTAGACAATGTTTCACAGGTCCAGACCATCAAGACAAGTGTTAAGCATAGTGGAAATGATGTCAAGGATAAAGCTCGCTTCAAGAGAAAGAAAGCTAAGGTCAGGGTTCGGATAATGTTTTATTTTCCCTTGCACAGCTTAAAATCTAACATGTTGCTTTCTCATTCTGTTGAAATATTGTTGTTTAAGACCATATTCTCCACTTTCATGTGAAACATTATACTTAACGTTTTATTAAAGCAGAATAACACGAAGATAGTGCTGGTATATGGGGCTGGTATATGTAGAAAGAAGCAACAGAGAAAGCCAACAAAATAATACACTTGTATTTCAGTCCTAAGGACACCATCAGTTCTTCCTTGAAAAAACTGAGGTTCCTTCCCTCTATACCCCTCGCTGTATATACATGCAGGGATAGAATTCCAAATTGATTATTTCCTTTGTCAGGTCCTCTTCATTGTTCTTGGCATGGACCACACTTCACCTCAAAGATGCACAATAACACTTTTAGTTGCTTGGTGATTTTACAATGCAAAAAATAAAGTTTGATATCAAACAAGCCTCCGACTATCTAAAGCACGCAACCTTGAAAAATAACTTTTTTATACTATCAATATAAGTTTTTCACATGGTGTTTATTGCATTTTCATTTGGGGAAAAGTGCTGATCCATAGTGTTGTTTATTGTGGTCTCTTTTACCATTACATATCTGTTTTATGGAATTAGCACAATATTATATTTTATAGTAGGGTCAAAAACGGTTAGAGGACCCCAAATGATGATGGTTCTTAGGATTTTAGGGAAGGGTCTCGATAAACTAGGAAAACCTATACATTCTCTGAGGATCAAGAGAATCTATGAAATAATAGATTGGAGCATTGGTCGCCTGGAGATTTTAAGTCTCTGCCTAGATTTGGTTGATTTGGAGTTGCAGCTTTTGCTAGTTTTGAGCCTCGAACTTTTGAGAAACAATAAATGATTTTAAGAAATGGAAGTCACCAGAAGCTTTTTTGGAAATCACTTATGAAAGCAGTTTTCTGAAACTTGGGTATTGTTTCTGGAATGATTGTTAAGAGCTAGGAACCGTACGATGCCCAGTAAGGTGACCAAACAAAAAATCAGTGCTGGAAAAACTCTGGAGAAAAGAAGTCTGGCCAGTTAAAAGACTCCAGGGTCACCTTAATCATGAAGGTGAAAACCATATGAGCTAAAATTTGAAGAGATGCATATGGGATTGAAAAGTTACTACACTCGGAGGTTGCACCTCTTTCTCAATGATGCTTGATTCATAAAGAATGATTTTCCTCTAAATTAATATCCTCCTATTTTAACTTGTGCTGAGATTATGATATTTAAGATCTGAACCAAGGTTTTTCTTTCTCTATGCGAGAGGGCTACGCAGATACTTGATATGAGATATTATGTTTTTTCTTGTAAGTGTGGTATTGTATAGAATATAGATCATGTATGTGTGTATTTAACTATAGCTGTGCGTGTAGCCGTCTCTTATTTTTGAGTGGGAAAAGATTTTGGCTTATGGAGTTCATGATATTTGTTGCATATATCATGTAGTAATTTGAATTTTTGGCCTGTCATTCCTCTAAGTTGACTGAGTCGACCATATTTACGTACAGAAGATGGTATTATGGACGTTATTGTGGTAAATCATGTTCAATTAAATGTGTCCCTGACTAACTATGGTTTATGCCTTGCCTTTTACAGGGTCCAAATCCACTCTCGGTCAAGAAGAAAAAGAAATCTGTTGATACAAATGTTACTACCTCAGGAAAGGTGAGATTCAGATTTTAGAACAGTATTTTATTATGACCTATAGTGGATTATGTAAAAGAAATTTTTTAAAATAAAATATATGGGGGCATACAGGGTGGATTGGCGGACAATTCAAGATGTAAAGTGTGCAGAAATTCTTGGGGGTGTATAGGCAAATAGTCCAAGATGCAATGCGTATATAGAGTAAACACCCCTCCTCTCGAAATGCCAGTTCAACTAGACCTTAGGGCCCTAAGTTTGCCTCGAGGTGTTTAGAGGTTGTCTCACCCCGCCACGAGTCCTGATGTTCTATTTTCAGATGTTGCTTATAACCTCTCGAACTTAATAAAGGTTTAGTTAAGAGCAGTATACATAAGAAGCAAAACGTCCATATAGCCTCCCTCCCCAAAAAGTCCATAAAGTCCATATTCGCCAACTGAAGTGTTATAAACTGTACTACTATTATCCGCACCCCCTCCCCCAATTTTTTTCCCCTCTTGGTGAATGTGGAAGTTCAAGTGCAGGTGCAGGAAAGCCAGAACAGGGATGGGACAGTGAGAAGCAGGAAGAAAAGGAAGAGGTCGAACAAGAGCAAAGATGCTGTTGAAGGAAACGTTTAGTGGTACTAGGCATCCACCAGGAAATCTTTTGCTCCTGACTTGCTTTGCAATATCAGGTAAGTGATAATCTATAAAGTTAAGAGTCCAAATGCTGATGCTGCATCATAATGTGAACATTTTTCGAGAGCACCATTTAACTGAAGGCATAGCTGCCACAAAATGCCAATACAGTGTAGAAGTTGCTCAACTGCTGTATAGTTTATGGCTAGTTTTATGGGTCTACTGCTTCTTTTCTTAGAACTTCCAAGAATTGATTGTGGTTAGTTTAGAATGGATCAACAGTTTCGGTTCTTTTGAATGTTGCGTCGTCAACTAATTACTTTTGTTGACCTATGCTAGGATCCTTACTAGTTTGTTTTGCATTAATATTGCATCTTCTGAATAGGAAAGTTATTAGAAGGAGAAACCTAATGTGTGCATGGTTTTTGACCCTTTCGCTCAAGGAGGATACTTGACGATATTCTTGGGAAGAGGAGACTGATTCTTGGGAGGGAAAGTCCATTCTTTTCAACTTAGAGCAGCATTAATAGTGTCTTTTAAATTTTATTTGGGGCTACTGCTTACGGGATTGACTAATCTGGTTTCAACAATCGTTATTATATTGCCATGCTCTCTTGTTTTGAGGCCTTTTGCTGTTTGTCCCTGCACTTTCCAGTTAGTGGATCCTTGCTCACCTTGCTTGAATCACATGTGAATAATTGTAGATTTGTAATATGTGAATCGAATTTTCTTTTAATCAGAAAATAGGCATCAATATTCTTTCTTTCATTGACGTTAGTGTTCAGGCAAGCTTGCCCCCACCTCTACTATTCCACTGTTACCTGCTATCTCCCACCAAATACAGGTAGCGGGTAACTCTACCTACCAACGCTTAGGCAAATGGGAAGAAATCATCCCTTGATTTTGTCTCCGTTGTGATTTGAACCTGGGATATTATGGTTCTCCTTACACTTCATTGACCTCTATGACACACGCTTGGTGCGAAAATGTGCATATGTTATTTGCTTAATTAATATCACACAGAATCTCTAAGAATTGTGTCACTTTTGGCAGGAGGAGTTTTGATTAATGGATACTATGAACATAGTACATCACCCACAAGAACTCTATTTATTTATCAAGGGAAGTGTCTGCCTGAGAGGTAGCAATTATCAGGAGAACACAATGGTCTATTGCTAATGTGATTCCATTTTGAGATGTCTTCATCTGTGTCTTTAGTTGATCAGCATTGTGTGGAACTTGTATGAATTTTGCCCTTGCAGTAACAGTTTTGTAACATGAAATTAGTTTCTGGAGTTCCGTTTGTGTTGACCTCAGTATACTTCTTACTTATTAGTGCAAGTAACTTAATGATAATATAAAATATTTATCTATTGACAGTGCACAAAACTTAAATACTATGATATTCTCTTCCATGACATTTCATACTAGACCAATCCATTGAAAATAAAGTATTTCATAATAATGTGTGGAATTAAACATTAATCTGTCTTCAAATGCAAAAATGGCAAATTAAAAGGTTATTACATTAATTTGAACTATAAGCACCCCCTTCAAATGCAAAAATGGCAAATTACGTCTTGATCCAAAGTCATGATGAGAATGTCGCACAAAGAACACCAAGAATTTGGGGGATTAATAGGATCTCTCCAACTTTAATTAAAAGTCTCGAATTCGAGCTTTGAGAATGAAAAAAAATTCTATTACAGTATTTTTTCTTTAATCTGTTGTATATGACCCGAATCTGGATTAGTTGGATTCCAAAGTAGATACAAAACGCCGCCGCCACCACCACCACCACAACCTAGTAAAATTTTACTAGTGGGGTCTGAGGAGGGTAGAGTGTACGTAGACTTTACCCCTACCCCGGAAGGGTAGAGAGGTTTCGGGAGACCCTCGGCTCAACAGAAGAGACAATAACATTAGAAAAGAAAAAACGGATAGATTCATAATAACAAAAGAAACCAGAAAAATAATAACAGCGTCGTAAATCAAAACACCGAGTGTGAGAAATAAAAAAGAAAAGGAATGTAGCACAAAGCAAAATTTTGTTGGCATGGATTTTCTTATTACTTAGGAAAAATTGTGGCCACATACTTGTTCTACTAAATACTAGTGATTAAGACGTGGACTATTATCATCATCCATTATAATTAGCATCATCATTATTATTACTATTATATTCATTATCAAAAACCCATTAAGAGTTGGCCAGTAAATAATAAAACCAATAAGGTGGTCCTAATCTCATATTTTCAACTTATAATAATTTCCATCTTATAAAATTCGATAATGTGGTTTATACTTTTTTTTTTAAATTTTAAATTTGTTTTTTCTGTTTTTCTGTGGAACGTAATTGATTGGTCGGTTTGATTAGGGCGGCTCTGCTGACCCATGAAATTTATTAATGATGTGTTACGTAATTAGTCGATAATTAATGGTCTTGATAAGGTTTGGACGGCTTATTTATATTAGGCATTATAGATTGAATAGTTAATTTTTGTTTTCTATTGTTTTCGCCCTCTTTTTTTCATCTTTAAAAAAAGAGTACATCACACAATGTTTTTTTTTCCTGGGTTTCTCATTCAGTGTCGGTATTCGTATTGGGGCCCGACTAAATCCCGATTTGTACCGGAAAGTCTCACATTGGGCGGTAAAGCACTCCCCGACTAAATCCCTATTCGTACCGAAAAGTCCCACATTAGGCAGTAAAGTGTTCCCTAACAAAGGCGACTCCATACCTAGGGGCTCGAACACGAGACTTCTAATTAAGGATGAAGGAGTACTTACCATTCCACTGCAGCTCTTGTTGGTACATCACACAATATTGAATTACATGTAATCCAAAGTTTATTTAAATATAACATGTACTTATTAGTGGTGGGCGTTAACAGAGAGATGACATTGTAAGCTAAACAGGAGTAGAGCTAGAAGTTTAATCGAATTCAATAATTTTTATTCAAATTATATATTTGTGTTAAATTTTTTATTAAATATGTACAAATATCAAATTTGGAAATCAACTTAATACTTGAAATTGTTGTTCTAAAATTCATAACTCATAAAGTTAAAATTTTGATTCCGCCTTTAATGTCAAGGACATCATTTTTTTAACGTTGAATGTGTTTTCTTCCTCCATTTCAATTTTTTAGTTTATAATTTGTTGGGGCTGTCCAAAAAGAAACTTGAAAGAACATGACAAGAAAATTAATAAAAGAAAGAAAATCACAGGGCTTAGATTTGCATGTGAGTAGTTTGTTCAAAGCCAATTGGTCATCTCATGAGCATGAGTTGTCTAGACCATAATTGGGTAGTTTCTTTTTCATTTTACTCTTATTTGCATGTAAAAATAGCACGGTATAGCCAGTTTTCGGATTTATCAAATTAATAAAAAATAGCCACTATTTTGCTGCAACAGAGACCGGTCTAGCATAATATATTGGAGTTTGGTGTACCTGTGTATGAACTCCAGTATATTATGCTGGACCCCTTGCTGACTCCAGTATAATATACTAGAGACTGGAGCACCGGTACTCCAAACTCTAGTATATTATGCTGGACCGGTATACTTGCTGGAACTCCAGTATATTATGCTGGAGTTCTAGTGTACTTATGCTGGAACTCTATCATATTATGCTGGAGTTCCAACATATTTATCCTGGAACTTCAGTATAATATGCTGGAGTTCAAGTATACTTATACTAGAACTCCAGCATAATATACTGGCGTATTTTTCGGGTTTTGAACAGTGTGTTCGCTCAAATTTATTTTTACATAAAAATTAGCTAAATTTCGATTAATTTTGAAACTGGACTATTTTTGAACGACCAGTTGTAAATCTGGCTATTTTTTAATTTCACCCTATTTGCAGTTCTCTTCGAATTCTATATTATTTTGGCAGTATTAAGAAGAAAAGATTTTTTCTTCGAAATTCTTTTGGTCTTGTGTACAATACTAAATGAGTTTTTGAGAAGGAGCAAATAATTCTATTAACTTAGTCCTTCTTAGTAAATTTTACTCGGTTCAAAGAATTTGCACAGAGTAAGTGTAATATAATTAGTTTCAAAGAATACCAATCATTATTTATGTTACTAGCACATAGTTAAATGTGCTAGTAAGCGGAGATGGCAATTACTTTCATAGACTTATGAACGAAGAAGGGAACAGAGACATAGTGCTAGGGGAATTGAGGCACTTCGGGATTCACCAAAACTTTAGGTATTGTAGGAGTATTAAGACTGAGGATGTCGTGGGAGCTATGCGCAAGATGATTAGGTGTCGAGCGACCGAACAAACAAAATTTTGATGGAATTGTGGAGGTGTGTGGGTAAAGCAGGCTTGAAATGGTTGCCTGCGCTATTTAATGTTATCTTTAGGACGAAAAACATGCCAGATGAATGGAGGTGGAGTACGATGATACCATTGTACAAGAACAAATGTGATATTTAGAATTGTAACAACTATAGGGGCATTAAGTTACTAATACCATGAAAGTTTGGGAGAGGGTGGTAGTAGGGAGGGTGAAAAGGGCAATGTCTATATTTGACAACCAATTCGGATTCATGCTCGTTTTACTACAGAAACTATTCACCTTATCAGGAGGTTGATGGAACAGTACAAGGATAGGAAGAAGGATTTGCACATGGTGTTTGTTGACCTAGAGAAATCGTATTACAAGGTTCCTATGGAAGTTCTTTGGAGATGCCTGGAGGTGAAAGTTGTGCCGGTAGCCTATATTAAAGTGATAAAGGACATGTATGAGGGAGTTCAAACTCAAGTTAGGATTGTGGGAGGTGACTCAGAGCACTTTCCGATAGTTATGGGGTTGCACCAAGGGTCTGCGCTTAACCCGTTCTTATTTGCCCCTGTGATGGATGCACTAACACACTATATTCAAGGTGAGGTGCTATGGTGTATGTTGTTCGCTGATGATATAGTTCTGATTGATGATACGCGCGACGACGTTAATGAAATGCTGGAGGTTTGGAGACAGACTCTTGAGTTTAAAGGTTTCAAGTTGAGTAGGACTAAGACAGTATATCTGGAGTGTAAGTACAGTGATGCATCAAGGGAAGCGGACATAGACGTGAGGCTTGACTCACAATTCATCCCCAAGAGAGGAAGTTTCAAGTACCCTAGGCCAGTTATCTAGGGGGGATGGGGAGATAGACGAGGATGTCGCGCATCGTATAGGAGTGAGATTGATGAAATGGAGGTTAACATCTGGAGTCTTATGTGACAAGAAAGTGCCACAAAAATTTAAAGGCAAGTTCTATAGAGCGGTGGTTAGACCGGCCATGCTGTATGGGGCTGAGTATTGGGGCAGTCAAGAATTCTCATACTCAGAAGATGAAGTGGCGGCAATAAGGATGTTGAGATAGATGTGCGAGCACACTAGGCTGGATAAGATTAGGAATGAAGATATCCGTGAGAAGGCAGTCGTGACTCCCATGGACGATAAAATGCGGAAAGCGAGGCTTAGATGGTTCACGCACGTGCAGAGGAGAAACATAGATGCCCCGGTTAGGAGGTGTGAGCGGTTAACATTGGCAGGTATGAGGAGAGGCAGAGGGCAACCGAAGAAGTATTGTGGGGAGGTGATCAAACATGACATGACGTGACTTCAGATCTCCGAGGACATAACTTTGAATAGGAAGATGTAGATGTCGAGCATTAGGGCTGTAGGTTAGGAGGGAGTCGAGTATTTTTTTACATTGTACCGGGGGCGGGGCTAGGCTGATAATGTTTCGCCTTGGGCTGTTAGTGGTTTATATAGTTTCCACACTATTTTCTATGGCATTATTATTGGTTATTGTTATTGCTTTTATAACTGTTTTCTATTTTTTACGATGCTTATATTATTTTTCTAACTTCTATTGTTGTCACTGATCTATTGTCTATTGTTTATTTTCTTCTTCTTGTAGCCTCTCTACCCTTCGGAGTAGGGGTAAGATTTGCGTATACTCTACCCTCCCCAGACCCTACTTGTGAGATTTTACCGGGTTGTTGTTATAGCACATAGTTAAATGTAAAAGTCTATTTGTAACTAATTTTGAATTACTTAATCCCTAATATAGTGTAGTAATATTCCTGTCAGTAACAAGTTATTAGCTAGCTAACAACTATGAAAAGACGTGTACCAACTCCACATCATTCTTCTTTCAGAATTGTGGCTGTGAATTCTCCCACATGAAGAATAAAAACTGGTTTTAGTGTTTGACATTTGAGCTTTATTACGTTGCTGAGCTAAGCAGCATTTATATAAAAACTTCTTTTTGTGTAAGTTGTGATACTTTTGACATTCAAAATAAAATTATACAAACAAATAATATGAGGGAAAGCCAGAATTTTACGGTTATGAGTTCTGAATGCCATCGAACCCTAACTCGTTTTAGTTACTGACTATATAGTTAAATATTTTTATATGTTTAATAATTTTTAAATACAAATACAAAGTTTAAGCAAAATATACGAATTCGGTCAAATTCATAGTTGTCATACTACCTCCTCCCCTACAAATAATTACTTCTTTAAAGTTTTAAAATATAAAATATTCACCTCAAACTTCATTCTTACACTTAATTATACGAATTAGTCTCACTTTACATGAAAGTAATTTTGCTCCATCATTGAGTTCGAACCGGAGAAACTTCTCAATAGGCAATGCTTTAATTACCTTTTTAGTGGATCTATATACGCGAATCTGGATTAGTGGGGCCAGTGAATTTCAGGACAAGATGGTTGGACTAATAATTTTCTTTTGTCTCCACCAAGAAATATGTGTTTCTTATTTTATCATTTTAGTATTCTAAAATAGTACGGGCTAACCAGTTTACGGACTGGTCATTCAAAAATAGCCAACGTTTGCAAAGTCATTAAAAAATAATTATTATTTTGCTGCAATAGGGACCGGTCCAGCATAATATACTGAAGGTCGATGCACATATGTATAAACTTCCAGCATATTATGCTGGAATTCCAACACACGGAAAGTTCCAACATAATATACTGGAGTTTGGAGCACCTGTGTATGAACTTCCAGCATATTATACTAGACCAGTATATTATACTGGAACTCCAGTATATTATGCTGGAGTTCCAGTATACTTATGCTGGAACTCCATTATAATATGCTGGAGTTCAAGTATACTTATGCTGGAACTCCATTATAATATACTGGAGTTCCAGTATTCTTATGCTGGATCTCCAGTATATTATGCTGGAGTATTTTTCGGATTTTGAACAGTATTTTCGTCCAAATTTATACAACAACAACAACAACAGCAACCCAGTATAATCCCACTTAGTGGGGTCTGAAGAGGGTAGTGTGTACGCAGACCTTACCCCTACCCTAGGGTAGAGAGACTGTTTCCAAATAGACCCTCGACATCCTTCCCTCCAAGAACTTCCCACCTTGCTCTTGGGGAGACTCGAACTCACAACCTCTCGGTTGGAAGTGGGGGTTGCTTACCATCAGAGCAACCCCTCTTGTCCAGATTTATCTTTACATGAAATGTGGCTAAATTTCGATTACTTTTAAAACTGTGGCTATTTCTGAATGACCACTTGTATATCTGACTATTTTTGAATTTCCCCCCTATATTTATGCTAAACATAACATTTTATCCAAATAATAGTACAATCTTTTGAGCCAAAGAGAAAAAGTAGCTTAAGTATACACAGTTGCAAATGACTATATTTAGACTATGAGGGAGGTTTTTTTAATTTTTTTTATTTTATAATTGGGGATGCTCTGATGGTAAGCAACCTCCACTTCCAACCAAGAGGTTGTGAGTTCGAGTCTCCCCAAGAGCAAGGTGGGAAGTTCTTGGAGGGAAGGATACCGGGTCTATATGGAAACAGCCTCTCTATCTTAGGGTAGGGGTAAAGTCTGCGTACACACTACCCTCCCCAGACCCTACTAAGTGGGATTATACTGGGTTGTTGTTGTTGTAAAAAAGAAAAAAAAGAAAAGTAACGCTATGCAATCATTATCTCATAACTATTTAATTTCAAATATATTTGCTTAGCTGCCCACATTCTCAGAATTATTTGAAGATTAGGTGAATAATTTGGGCTAGACCAGCTAATGAAATTGATATATGTTTAATTAAATAAATAATGAGATACTTTTTAAAAGATAAGAAAAAGAAATAAAACCAGACAAGAATATATCTGCCAACTCCTTCCCCTCTGGTGCTCTTTAATTTCCAGAACAGTCTTTTTAATTACTCTCCCTACTAAAGAATGTTGATAATAATATCATTAATTAAATAATTTGTATAATTTGTTTCAGAAATTACACTAATGAAGTAACATTTTTTTTTCTTTGATTCATTTTATATGACAAGATTCTTATTTCAAGTATCAGATAGCTTGCAGTATTTGATAATTATTTCTGTAGAAATACACCTTCATTACAAATTAATTGAAACTGCCTGTATAAATCCTTGCTATATAATAACTTTATAATTAAAATTTTAATTATATAAGAAAGTTGCAATTAGTGCTCTCACCTTCCTACAATGAATGGTACTTTTTTATTTTGGGAGTTATTTTACTACAATATTTTCAAATAATATTAAAAGATTTTTAACTTTAAAATAGTTGGTTTAGAGTATATTTTATATACAACAACAAACCCAGTAATTTTCCATAAAAGTATGTTTTATATAAATCTCTAAATACTATCAACATTTTGTTTCCAAAAGCTTAAGAAATTATTTTCCAAAACTAGATGGATGACTATCATATGTTGTAATTAGTGACGAAGCCACATGGTCATAAGGATAGTCAAATGACCTCAACTGACCACCTTTCGTCAAAAAATTGCATGTGTATATAGCTAAAATATTACGTTTTAGAGGTATATAACGCATATTGAACACCCTTTGTCGGAATTTTTTTTTCACTTCTTTCAAATTTGAATACCCTTGAGAAACTTCGCCACTGATTGTAATTCGTTACTCTATTTTAAACAAATAAAAGTATTATATTTACGTCATTTCTAATCATTTATCTCATATTTCAGAAATACAAAGAAATGGATGCTTAATATCATACTATCAAATTACGTCTTTTTTTTGGTTATCATCCACGTTCTGTATCCGTATTGGAGCCCTGACTTATATGAATTATACCGCATAAGGTCTATTAAAGGAGAAAACGTTCTCTACTAGATTTTTTTTCATTTCTAGACGATCTTATTCGTCCCACCACAATCGTCAAATATTATCAAGGTGGAAGTGTTCTCTATCGATCCATCCCACCAAATCTTTTTTCATTTTCAAAACTTTGAATACGAAATTTCTAATTAAGGATATAAGGATCCTATCCATCCCACCATAATCGTCAGATATTATTAAATTATGTCATTATTTTTGTTTTCACATGGAGATGGAGTTAAAAAGAATTAACGTTTAACTTTTGGCGCATTTTTCATTTATCAAATAATGACTTCTCCACTATAAAAAGACAGAAACACTTTCCTTTCTCAGTACCTAACTTAGAAACAGAAAAAAAGAAAGAAGAAAAAACCTTCTAGTGTGTGTCTGTGTGTGAAAAAAATGGCAGAAAACAAAGAAGAAGATGTGAATCTTGGAGCAAACAAATACAGAGAAACACAACCATTAGGAACAGCAGCACAAACAGAAAATAAAGATTATGTTGAACCACCACCAGCACCATTATTTGAACCTGGTGAATTATCATCTTGGTCATTTTACAGAGCTGGAATTGCAGAATTTATGGCCACTTTCTTGTTTTTGTATATTACAATCTTGACTGTAATGGGACTTAAAAGATCAGATAGTTTGTGTTCTTCTGTTGGTATTCAAGGTGTTGCTTGGGCTTTTGGTGGTATGATCTTTGCTCTTGTTTACTGTACTGCTGGTATCTCAGGTCAGTTATTCTTCTTCTTTTGTTGCTTCACTTGTTCTCCTCTTTTTCCTTATCGTTTTTTGTCTCGCTCTTCTTTCTTTCTTCTTCTCCCTTATTCTCTCTTTCCATCTTTTCTTGGGTCGATGGTCTATCGAAAACAACCTCTCTATCTTCCAGGTAAGGGTATCTTCCAGGTAAGGGTAAGGTCTGCTTACACCATACCTCTACCTGTAAGATTATACTAAATATGTTGTTGTTGTTGCTGCTGCTGTTGCTTCTCTTGCCCAAGTCTTGTTCTTTTACCAATAATAATAAAAATGTAATCTTTTTTGGTCTATTCTCCCATAATTTTGTGACTGTTTTTCATTTTTTCCCTTCTTTAGCTTAGTTTATTTTAGCTTGCTGGTGTGCCTCATCCTATTTTTGACAACTAGTTTTATGAAATATTCCTGAATGTAGGTATGTAAGTACATACCGTGGCAGAGCAAGAATTTTTATTAAGGGGTGTCAAAAGATAAAAAAGTAAATATATGAAAAAATAAAGGGGTTCCATATAATATGTGTATTTTTTTTTTTTTACCTAGTTACGCACTATAATTTTTCAGGCGAAGAGGTGACACCCTTGGGATAAGGTGGCTCTGTCACTGTGTGTATATATACCCAAAGTTTTCAGCTTTGTTTTTTTTGGTAGCTCAAAAATGTAATTTTTTGTGTATCATGTACCGAAAATGTGATTTTTTCTTTTCTTTTTTGGGGGTGCGCGTGTGTGTCGGGGCTGTTCTCTCTATAATTTGTGACTGATTTTCATTGTTTTCCCTTCTTTAATTAGCTTACAGCTTGTTTGGATGGTTGTTACTTATTGTATCGTATCGTATTGTTACTTTAAATACAATCTTTGTTTTGGTTGTTACTTAAATTTTATTGTATCGTATCGTTAAAACCGTCGTTATGTAACGATGAAATGTACCACTTTATGTAACGACCGATTTGGTGTGGTCGCGTCGTTTTATTGTATTTTTCTCTCAATCTCACCCTTCATTATTATTAAATAATTTTATTTTATCATTTACCCTACCTTTTTATATATCGTATCATAATTTTTCTTTATAATATTGCAAATTTATTCATCATATTACTGGTGTGTGATACCATGAAACGACGCCAAAACGACACAATCCATCCACACATTGTATTTGTCAAACGATACAGTACAGTACAATACGATACGATATATTATGAAACAATATGTAACAATCATCCAAACAAGGTGTTAGTTTATTCTGGTTGCTTATGCTTCCATCCTATTTTTGACAACTAGTTTTATGAATTCTTGAATATATACCCATAAAAATAATTCAGCTCTCTTTATTTTTAAAGCCAAAAGTTGTTTTTGGTTCTCTTCTTTTTTTCAATCTTCTTTTGATATATGTGTTGCTTAAAGATCCAGCCTTGATTCAGAAGTAATTCAAGATTTTGAGCAGGTGGGGGTCGCAAAGGGGTACAACAACAATAACGAACCCAGTATAATTTCACAAGTGGAGTCTAGGGAGGATAGTGTGTAAGCAGAACTTACGTCTACTGTGAATATTGAGAGACTGTTTCCAATAGACCCTCGGCGCGAGGAAAGATGAAAATAAAGCAAGGGTAGTCTATTATATATAGAGTTGAACTTCTACACACAGAAGGGTAATTATTATCAAGTTGCCTAAAATAATTACATTTAATAATCCATAATAGATAGAACTAATAACTTCAAATACAAGGCAGACAACCTATTGAAATAGGTTATATTACATTGATTACTTTTTGCATATGTAGACATGATTCTAGTAGAAAGCTATTGGTTTTTTTCACCCTTTTCTATTTTCTATTTCAAGAACTGACTTTCTATTTTTGTACTGAAACAGGAGGCCACATTAATCCAGCTGTGACCTTTGGTCTATTCTTAGCAAGGAAACTTTCCTTAACCAGGGCAGTATTCTACATGGTAATGCAATGCCTTGGTGCTATTTGTGGTGCTGGTGTTGTTAAAGGTTTCATGAAAGGTCCATACCAAAGACTTGGTGGTGGTGCCAATGTGGTTAACCCTGGCTATACTAAAGGTGATGGACTTGGTGCTGAAATTATTGGTACTTTTGTTCTTGTTTACACTGTTTTCTCTGCTACTGATGCCAAGAGAAATGCCAGAGATTCACATGTTCCTGTAAGTGCCTTCTTGCCTTTTTAATTCAAAAGATATTTCTTACCGATAATGCGTCTGGATTTGAAGGGGAGCCTTGGTGTAACTGGTAAAGTTGTTGTTATGTGCCTAGGAGTTCACAGATTCGAGCTGTAAAAACAGCCTCTTGCAGAAATGCAGGATAAGGCTGCGTACAATAGACCCTTGCAGTCCGGCCTTTTCCCGAACCCTGCGCATAGCGGGAGCTTAGTGCACCATACTGCCTTTTAATATGTTGGATCATTATACTATCCGTAGTAAGCTGTAACAAGTAAGAGGAGACAATTTGGATGCAAATTCTGTAACGATTTCTCTTTTGTTTTCCTCTTTTTGAGATTTTGGTTGAGTAGAATGAGTGAACATTTTTGGTCTAAAGGGCAGCCCAACGCACAAAGCATCTCACGTTTACACAGGATCCGAGGAAGAGCCGTATCTCAAGGGGGTGATATCGACTCCCTACCCTAATGCAAGCATTAGTGGCTGCTTCCATGGTTCGAACTTGTGACCTATAAATCACACGGAGACAACTTTACCGTTGCTCCAAGGTTCCCCTTCCGCCTTTGGTCTAGAAAAAAAATTGCTCATACTAGCATGTGCTATTGATGTTTGCTGACAGCTCTAAAATAAGATAAAAAATGCATAAAATTCCAACTTGTTTCGGATTGAGGCAGTTACGGTTGTTTGAAGAATAAAGAACTGCATTCCTAACTTTCATGCTTTCTTACAGATTTTGGCACCTCTTCCTATTGGATTTGCTGTGTTCTTGGTTCATTTGGCCACCATCCCAATTACTGGAACTGGCATCAACCCTGCCAGGAGTCTTGGAGCTGCTATTATCTTCAACAAAAAACAGGCATGGGATGACCATGTAAGCCCTTCAACTTACACATGTTTCATTTTTTTAATAACCTAGAAATCCCCGAGTGCTAGCTGGCGCACGATTTGAAATTTAGTGGATAATGTGTCTGCCTCTTTACCCTTCTCCACTTGAACATGAAGCTTTTGTTTACAGCCAGATTCGTACTCATGATATGCGCGTAACGCACGCGTCACGTGTTACGCTCTTACCGTTGAACCAAAGCCCCAGTGGCTTTCATTTTTTTATATTGATAGCCGATAAATTTTCGAGGGCTAGCTAGCGCACAGGTCGAAATTCGGTGGATAACGAGCCCTCCCTTCTATCCAGAGGCGGATCCAGAATTTAATATTTACGGGTTCCTGCAATAACCTCAAGTAATTTTTCAATAGTAACTAGGTTCACATTAAAATATTTATAGATATTGAGTGAATTTTTCGAACACATTTACACTGTTTGAACAAAAGCTACTGGGTTCGTGTGAACCCGTAGGTCGCAAGGTGGATCGGCCCCTGCTTCTATCTTCTCCACTTAAATACCAGGCTTTTGTCCAAAGCCTGGTTCGAACTCATGACATGCGCCTAATTCATCCATCACGTGTTGTGCTCGTACCACTGAAACAAAGCCCCAGAGGCTTTCACTTCTTGTTTTTCATAGCTAACAATGTGCTGTTTTTTCCTGATATTTTCAGTGGATCTTCTGGGTTGGACCATTCATTGGAGCTGCTCTTGCTGCAGTTTATCACCAAATAATTATCAGAGCCATTCCATTCAAGAGCAAGGCTTAAGATTCTCCTGCCATTTGCCTTTTTCAAGACTCTGTATTCCATTTTCTTCTCTTGCTGGTGTCTGTCAAATGTGTAATTTCTTCTATTAAGATGTCAATTATGTGAATAAATTATCAAGTTGTATCTAAAAGCTTTGTCAATGAATGAATTTCTATCTTATTCTTTTCCTTCCCCTCCCTCTAAAAATATAAATTATATTCTATTGAATAATATTATGTGTCGCGAATACAACTTGACATAAAAACCTTTTTGGTTAAAATTGTCTAATATAAGATCAATTTTAAAGAGCTTAGCAAAATTATATGCTCGAAAATACTCTTTTTTTTTTTTCCAACTTCAATCAATTATTGTCCAAATGGCTAAATTTTCATGGGTTGCCCAAATGACAAACTATTTTCGTGTTAAAACAAAATGAATAAGATTTTTTAAGGTTCGTTTATTTCCACACGTAGATAGAAGTTTTTAATAGACTCCTGAATAGACACAAAACCAATGTAAAAATAAGAGCAACAACAACTAAATTTAATCCCAACTAGTTGGTATCGTCTAGATAGATATGTTGTAAACAATTTCTGAGGGCCATCGGACTGGGTAAAATCTGAATTAACCGTGGTGCCCTTGCGGGAAACTCCTTACCGAAGGCCTGTGCACCCCCGAGAATAGTCGGGGCTCGAAGAGACTCGGACACCCGAGGCAAATAAAAAAAAGAGAGAAAGATATGTTGTATCTTATGTTAAATATGCACCAAGTTTCTTTCAACCAGTTAATATAGAACATTCCCTTTATTATGCTGTGTAAATTTGCATCAATTTTCGAGAGATTGTGGGTTATTTCAGAAATTTTAGGCTTACCTCGTATCTTTTATCATATTCAATCATACTATTGTCGCACCTATGTATCGGTGTACAGAAAATGTAAAATTATTTATCCAAATTCCAAATAGTCAACCGCTTTCACTGTACATTTTTTTCTAGCTGGTATACATAAATTATAATTCAAAGAATTATCAAACAACTAGTTAATTTGCCCGCGCTTCGCGCGGTCCTCAAGATTGATTTCATTATAATTTTATTGACATCCACATATTTTTATTCAAATAATAACATATCTGTATCTCAAGAGCATTCAATGAATTATCAAGGAAATAGTACCCTTTAAACAGACAAGAGGGGTTGCTATGATGGTAAGCAACCTCCACTTCTAATCAAGAGGCTGTGAGTTCGAGTCTCCCCAAGAGCAAGGTGGGAAGTTCTTGGAGGGAAGGATGCCGAGGGTCTATTTGGAAACAGCTTCTCTACCCCAGGGTAGGGGTAAGGTCTGCGTACACACTACCCTCCCCAAACCCCACTAAGTGGGATTATACTGGATTGTTGTTGTTGTTGCTGTTGTAGTACTCTCTAAACAATCTTATTTTTTGCATATTCTCCAACCACAACATTTCCTTACTAATCTAATTAACTGGGATTTGTACCGGATAAGCCCTTAGTAAAACCCTCCCTATCAGCTACAAAGAAGTTTTCCGCCGCAAATAAAATTTAAACGCAACTTTTATATATATATATATATATATATATAGGGGCGGACCCACGTGGAGTCAAGTGGGTTCATATGAACCCGCTTCATCGAAAAATAACACTGTGTATATAGGTATATTTTTGCTGTTTTCAGACAAGTAATGGTATAAATATAATTTTGAACCCACTTAAAACAAGGAAAATGTCTAGCCTGTTGGTAAAGAGGGTTCAAATTTTCCACATGGTCCTGAGTTTGAAACTAGCTAGTCACATATGAACCCGCTTCATCTAATGTTTTTTTTTGAACCCGCTTGATAAAAATCCTGGGTCCGCCACTGTATATATATATATATTTGTATTTTATGATATTACATTAATTTTAAGAATACTATATAAAAAGAATCTACTAACATGTGTTTGGTGTTGGTTGCATGAAAAGCTCAACATTTCACAGTTTCAAGTCAACCCTCTTTCCCCTAACTTTAAGAGAACATTCTAAAATTAACAAACTGATTTCATTTAACTCTCATAAATTTCAAGACGCATGCTATAAAGGAAAATCAAGAAGTAACAATTGTACACATCCATTAAATGTTGGAGAATACAAAACCTAAAATATGTTGGAGATTATCTGTGTAAACATATATAGGATTTTAATAAACTAACTTAATAACAGAGTAATACAATAACATAATAAAAAGTTGTAGGAAATTAGCATATTAAAATGCTAAAACTCATAAACAAATGAGTTGGCCAATATCATGCTTGTCATCATATAAAATTAGCAAACAAACGTAAGATCTAACATAAGAGTTGGACCTTTTTATAAGCCAAAACATTCTTGAATTATTATGCATATTGAATCTCCATTGAAATTAGCTGTAAAGGTGAGTAATTATTTTTGTAACGGTTAAAGAAAAGAGTATGGTGTAATTAAAAGAATAAAAGGCTGACTTTGAAACGGATGATCTTAGTTTTGTAACTGTCATTTTTTCTCTTCCTCTATTTATCATTATCATGGAACTACAATTAAACATTAATTTTTTGGTTTAAATAATTAAATATAGTACTAAAATGAGAGAAAACTATCAAAAATCCGAGAAAATAGATAAATCATATCCTAGATTAGGAGAGCTGCCACATCAGCTTTTTCATTCCCTACTTTATATATATATATATAGAGAGAGAGATTAAATATACAATTGAAAACAGAAAATAAGAATTGTAACGTTTGTATAATTAGAAACATGATTGAATACTAATAGTCATTAAGGAGACGTAAACGTGTAACGGAAAAGATTAAAAAACAAAGAAGAATACTAATAGTCATGATGAGAACAAAATCGTTGCCAACTTTTGGCTGAGGCAGCTAATGGGCTGAAAAATATGTGAAATCCCAAGGTAGATATATATAACAAATAGGGGTGTTCATAAAAACCCGAAAAACCGAACCAAACCAACCAAAAAAATCGATACTTTTTTGTTTAGTTTGGTTTTGGTTTTGAATTTTAAAAACCGATCAAATTTGGTCTGGTTTTGGTTTTAATCAGAAAAAAATCGAACCAAACCGACTATAGGAGTAACTATTTCAAATTTATTATGGGATTTTTACCTATCTATACCATATATCAAAACTTATTACCCTCAATGTTTAAGGTTT